TTGTTCATCAAGCATCTTCTTGATTCCACTTTGTAGGAAGTTCCAATATATCCCATGCTTGTTTTACCGTCATAGCATGTGACATTTTTTCCCCAAAGATCTCAAGATTTATTCCCAGTAGACAAATGTTAATGCCTTGTGGTCTTTTATTCTCATTTCCTTCAACTCGTTTACATTTTTTTTCTTTAGTAAATGACACCTATGCATACTCAGGTATAATGCTCCTCCTATTCATAAGCGAGAGACTTTCAAGATCTCCACCCATTTTATAGAGAAGCAAAAAATAATACAAGAAGATGTGGGGGGCTTTACCTTGCCTTAAAAAACTACAATATGAAACCGAGCAACTTGTCTACCAACCTAACTAAACCATCTTCAAGGTACATTGTCTAATATAGATGATAATTCAGCATGCCAGTATTGAAGTACAATCTATGATGTTTACGAAGCGTAAAATGTTCATAAAATGGAGTTTTTGAGATAACATCTCTTTCTAATGCACCTTGGTTATGCAACAATTATAGACATTTCTCACTCATATTAGCTAAGATATTGTGCCATTTGACAGTATCATCTCCCTTTTTCCATAGAGGCTCGCCATAGAAAGGCCTCATCTCGTCTCCTTTAAAGGAAACAAGTGAACTCTTTGATGATTTTAAGCAATATGTGTAAATCCGTTTTCTTCTAGAACATCAATAGAAACAGGTTTACAGACAAGTATGGCACACGTCTTACTTTTCTCATAGTATGAGTGTATCCATTTAGGACTACATCGTCTATTCCTTTAATGCCACAGGGAATATTGTTGCCTATTACAACTTTTCCAACATTGATTTCTTAATAATTCATAAACTCCCCTTTGGGGATCATGTGGAAAGTGCAACCTCAATGTAGACATTCATGGCATTTTCCATTTTCGGAGACTAAATTCACAATTCCTATATTAACAGTTGTTTCCATGGCCACGTGACCTCCTTAAAATTTCCATTTGATGAAGATGCTATATTTCCTCATATTTTCCCTTTTGTTCAATTTATGTTTGCAACAACTTCTATAAAATCTGCCATCTTTCCACAACCATAACATGTTTTTCCTTTGTCATGAATTTGGATCTATATCTTTCCTTATTTTTCTTTCTGTTATTATTATTCCCTGGATTCTTTGAGTTTTGTTCTTGGCTGTGATTTTTCCTATGTTGAGACGTTCCTCTTACTAACATAGTTTCAGCTTACTTGAATCTTGTTTTATATCCTATAATTCTTGCTCTTTACACATGAGTTGATGACTATTTGATAGGTTAAGTCATCTTTCCATATTTAATGGCAGCCTTTACATATTTATAAATCTCAGAAATCAGCATAATAAAAGCTTTATATTCGTCAAATATCTTTTCACCGAAGTTATCTTGAACCAATTTGTTAATAATGTTTAGATTATAGCCGAATTTATCTCGAGAAATCTATCTTAAAATGAAGAATCTTTCAAGTGAAGTTTAATGGTGGAGGGATTTTCCATATAAAGTTTTTGTAGAGTGTCCCACGGTTCTTTAGAAGTGCTCAATTTTCCCACCTTTCTCAACATGAAATCAGGAAAATTCAAAATTATGGCGGTGTATGTCAATTCATTAGTCTCTGTCTTTTGGTCCTTGGTGATGGTGGCCACAAATTTTCCATCTATAGCCTTATCTACTTCTTATTGTCCTAACACGCCTCTCATCTTTTGCTTCCAAATACAAGGATGTTTAAGTAAAAGAGACCCAATTAAAACTTATTATGCTCATTATTTAAAAAAAAAAAAAAAAAACGAACACAAGATTTAGGATAGACTTTAGTAATTAGAATTAATTTCTTATCACTTATATAACACAGAGCAGACAAGAATCCAAAACCCAATCAACAGACAAGTTCAGCGAGGGTGCAAATCATACAAATGAAGTGTTATACCTCTAATTTCAGCCTATATTTACCTGGAATCCATGAGGTGAGGATCAAGTTCCCAAGTAATTTTGTGCTTAGTTTGTCAGTGAAACGTGCAAGATTCAATAAAATTAACATAGGCACTTCCACGGGTGATTTTAGACACAAAACTGGCTCTAACCTCAGAATAAGCTTTAATCAATTATGTAAATCAGATTCGAATGGGGGGGTGGGGCGGGGGGGGGGGATGAACCGCATGTTTTCAACTAAACCCTAATTGCATAAATCTCCCATTCTATACTTACATCAAATGGTATGGATGCGATCTTGATAATCAACAAATTGCGTTTTCCATCAAAAGGATACAAGTTAAGCATGCCTTTAGTTCATGCCACTTGTATCGCACTTTAATAATGCCATCTCTAACAAATCCTTCAACTAGGTTTTGATGCCACTTTGTTATGAGCATTGTAGAGTCAGTATTTTATTCATGCACTCAAAACTTCAAAAATGCTACAAGAGAAGAGTTTTACTCTTGGACAATATGTTTGCACTTTGTTGTTTGCTTACAACTTCTTGCAATTGTTTCGCTCTTTTCCATACATTTCCCTTAGACTCCTATGTATACTCGTGTTGGTGAATCGAATTTCATGCATATCGTGATCATTTTCTAATATTCAATGGTATATAATTATTATATACCAACATTTATAAATATTTTCCATTATTCATGTTTCTTCCTCAAGGTTTGTTGGTAGGTGATTAGGCGTTGTACCAATGTTCATGAATTTCTTCAAGATTCATGTTCACCAGTCTTGGTCAATTTCTAATAATTCAATACAGCCCTCGCAGTACATGAATGAGAATTAATAAAACAAAATTTTAAGATTTTATATGTTTACAAATATTTGAATAAGAAGTGCATCGTTTGGAGTTCCTACACTGAATTTATCTATTTGTAGGTTTTGTAATTTGTAGAATTTGTATACTTAAAGAACTACTGTGCTAGCGTTTCTCTTAATTTTTGTATCTGAATTATGAGTTTTTTTCTCAACACTCTTCTAATCAAAATAAATAATATATACTACAAATGGATCTCTTCTATGAAGAGTCTACTGTTCTCTAGAAACATTTGCATACAATTTCCCTGTTTTTTATTTCCTCTTTTCCTCTCATATCCCTAATGCAATATGAAATTTAAGTTTAATCCTCTATGTTGCGGTTGGTAAATTTGTTGGGCATGAAGCTTTAGCACGAGTGAAGGAACTCAATCGCTAAATGATGGAGTTTACTCATTCCACAGATAGACTGTTTAGATTCATCTTAATAACTTAGGTTGTTCAGTATGTACTAGGATTCTCAACACATATGTTCCTGTTTATAGACTGGTGTTCCTAGTACTACACATACTATGTAAGGTAAAGATGCTCAATTGCATTTTGAAGCAAATGTCAGAAATATTATAAGCTGTGAGGTTGGATTTTGGTCTACTAAATATAATTGGACATAGCTTAAAAATGTCTAGAGGGCAATTGGTTATCTGTCACTGTAACTAGATTATTAGGCTTACTGTTGTTCATGGTTTTAGGTCCACTTTCTTGAGACGATAAATAAGTGTAGGCTTGTTGTAGGACCAGGTTTACACAATTTTAGAGTTGGGAAGCAATAGCAAACAATCTTAGAGAAAAATTAAAGTGCAGAAATTAAAGATTCAACACAAGCAATTTCTTTCAGCCTAAGCCCTGGAGGTTCGGCGACTACTTCTAATGCCTACATCCTCCTATGAGCATCTAATGAATTGGATTATGCTCAGTCGTACTAAATAGCCCAAAATGACAACAAAAGGTTACAAATGTTTAACCAATACATAGAGATAGAACCAAAAGACTTATCTCTCAAAAATAATGACTGATGTACGAAGAATCACCGAGAATCTTCACAAAATCCTTTGGGAACAATGAATCAATAGAACTTTCACGTTCTCACCAATATCCACTCAGAATATCATAAACCGGAGGCTAAGTATTACGAATCACAAGTCACAAATCAAAAATTTGAGAGATGAAAGACATAGAGGAAGAAACTCTAGCAGATGAGAGGTTTCTCTCCAAAACCAAGAGTTAGTCAAAACCTATGAAAAGCACACCCTGTGTCAAGTGAAACGGCACATGATATAGAACCATCCAGAATCCAACAATCAACAATCAAGGTCGAGCCACTTGTCACAATCCAATTAAAAATGCTTTTCTAATAAAGTTGAATTTTAGAAGCACGCTTTCAGCACAAATTCTGGAAGCAGCACAATTCGGACCAGGATTCAAATCCAACACTTTTAGGCTTCGATGATAGGTAGAACCTATATAAAGATATATCATCTTTCCTCCGTGACCTTAACAAATTGATTTAAAATCGTTAGTTGAAGACTTGAGGAAGATTTATTATTTTAGTTATAACTTTGAGATGTGTTTATAGTTGCAATATCTACAATTTAGTAATCTAAATTGATCTAAAAGTCTAATTTAGTTCTAGTGAAATATTAGAGCAAAGTTGTGCTAAATCCATAAAATGGTTATATGCTTGCATGATCATTTCTTAATAGAATATTTGTATTGGCTCTTCAATTCTGAAGGCCTCCACGCCCAAAATAGAGGCATGATAGATATGTCTGTAACATATAGAATCTATTGTTTACAACCAAACTTACTTGAAAATATAGATTCTATTGTTTATGACTAGAATTGCTTGAAAATGGCATATATTGCTTACTACTAAAACGGCTAGAATGTCAAATCATTTGCTATCTCTATTTGCCCTTCCCCTTACTCGTTTTCTTTTGTTCTCCTTTCTATTATCTATATTCTGTTGTGGATTTTTATGAGATATTTGTATGCAGAATTTTTTATTTTTATTCGACAGGTAATTTTTTGACATTTTGCAATAATTTAGGACTGGCCTAAACTAATGCAGCTCCTTAATTATCTGGCAAAGAGCATACTCTATTCTAATACAAGTTCTTCAGCCTTCTTATCAGTTTATTACATTCCAAACTCTTTCTCCTACTAAATGATGCTCATTGTTTAACAGGGACTTGTAGACGGAGAAGATACGTTTCGAGCAGGGAAATTCCGTTCAAGTTGTTTCGGCTTCTAAAATCATCAAGCAAGACCTTAACTACGAATAACTCATATATGGCATTCTGCACTATATATTGCGGCTTTGTATGTTAGAATTTCTTGTGCACTTTGTGAGATTCTAAACATTTGTTTATGATTCATGCTTTATGATTGTAGTTTTCTATCCCACCTCGTTCAATTCTTTTTCTTTACCATTCCTCATCTGCCGCTTGAAAAACGAATAATAAAGGAGGGAAACAAACCAACATTTGAAAAAGAATAAACCCTTAAATGACTTATGAGCCAACTATTCAGCAGCAGTATTTCATTCCATACTGATACATCCATAATCTACTTAAATACTATTCTCGGTCTCAAATGCTTCCTATTTTATAGATGATTTCGTAGTCTAGTTATTGGCATATCATAATACAAGTTTGTGTGTGTTCTTTATTGCTTCAATTGACAGAAGATTAGTTCAAATCTGTAGATACATGAGGTCGCTATTGGAAAACGAATGATTTGACTCATATTGTTGTCAATTTTATACCCCACAAGTGAACTGATCGTAACAAGTAGTAAGGTGGACCTTTTGAGTCCAGATTATCATTCCCACGAGGATTATACTTTAATACTCAATTTATTATTTCTAATTTCTATTTGATGAAAATAAACAAGAACAATAATTTATTATGATTTTGAATCTAACTATCTAACCATTCGTGAATGCAAACAAAGAATGATTGAGAATTCAAATAATAAACAGATATTAGAGCTGATCAATTTCCCCAATTGATCAAATTTACTCCTTATATCAAGATTCATAAAATCTAAAGTAGTGTTTGGTCGAATTCTCCTATTATATTCAATTTACTCCTCTCGAGTTCCCATTGAGCCTATTTAACTACTTCAAATCTATATCTCTATACGAATCAAACTTAGTTAAACGAAATAAAAGTTTTAAGAATTTAATTATACCCATAGTAATTAATATAGATATCTCTACACGTTATATTAATTTATCGAATTTTAATATATGATCTAAACAAAGAATCCGCATCTCTACGTAATTATTATTCACGAAATCATTGAATAATTGGCCATAAAATTCAAAGCATTGAGAACATGATTAAAATCCACATATATAATTATAACGAACAAAAATCTCAAATAAAAGAAATAAAGGTTCCCAAATAGATTATATTGTTCGTCAAAAATTAAATTTAGCTGCTCATAGTAATGAAAGAAAAACAATTAGTTATTATGGAAGATATCATTTGGTTTTGAGTAAGAATATAGAATAAGAAATCAATCTTGCACCAATATCTTATTCCTCTTCCAATTTATGCTTCAAAACTTGGATTGTTTGATGTTTTTCTCTCTTGAATTCGACCTTTCAACCTCCAATTGCATGTGTTTTCCTCCTAATGAGTAGATTCAATCCTTGATCTTTTGCCCCCTTAAATTCTCTCTCCATTCTCCAATGTTTAGGTGTTTTATGCATAAAAGAGGCTCCCCCATGTGTATAGGACGTTTTGGTACTTATATGGCTCCAATTTAGGTCAAAGATATCATCCAATATCATTCCAAGTTAAATTTGAATCGTATAAGGAAACTTGGGATTCGGTCAAACTTTTATACTACCGCATAGTACATTATCATGCTATTGCATAGATCACTTTTTGGACTCTAGATTTTTCCCTACAGCCATGGATGTGACCGTATGATTTTATAACTATGCAACAGCATATTTATAAGTTTTTACCTTCAGACAGCTTTTAGTATTTTTGTCATATCGTCCTCTCTCGATATCCAATTGAGATGATTTAAAGTGTGTTGGAAAGCGAACTCAAAGAGCTACAATTATTCTAGAAATAGTATTTCTCCAATTCAAAATTTTTCTAACCAAAAAATGAGTATCAAATTGAGGCTAAAAATTCGGAACATAAATTTTTTTGGGCGAAAGGTTCATTTGTGAGAATATTTCGACTCTATTTCACTCCTTGGACTTCTTTCCTCATCTGATTGACTCCTAACACTCTCGAATCTCCATTGTAAATTTTGACACAACTTTTGAGTATTCATATTTTGGTCCTAGAACTTTGGATCTTGCTCTTTTCCAGGTTTTCCTTTGTTTCTTCCCTTTTTTGTACCATCATTAAATTTTACCTATTCAATCCCAAATGTAACAATTTAGATCATAATTCATCTGATAAGCAATTAAATATCACCGTTCTAAGGCTTGGATAAGTGTATAAACAGTTATCACATACTCATGTGGGGAGATCCAATTACCTTTTTCCATAGAAGAGTTGCAAATAAACCCTTTATTACCTGTATTCGTTCTTGTAAAAAAAAAAAAAAAAAAAAAAAAAAAAAAAAAAAACAAAGAAATTCAAAAAAAAAAAAAAAAAAACAAATCCAGAGTTATAATGAAATCAAAAACTACTTTTCATTAGCTGGATTCCAATCACCGCTTGTTTGAAATATATGGTTGATATATATGAGTTTGCCGAACCAAAATATGAACCTTAGGGCATCTAAGATTTGTGGGAGGAGGACCTAATTTATGCTGTGCTTCATAAAGAAAATGTATGTTTAATTTTGTTTATTAACTACAATATTCTGTTTTATAGCTCATGTTGCTGTTAAAAGTGATGTGGTAGTTTTTTATTAACTTTTAACGTGGTACTTTTAATTAACTACAACATTCTATTTTATAGCTCACATTGATGTTAAAAGCAGGGAATAATCGTGAGCACAAGTTGAACCAAACTTAAATTGTGCGTCCTTTACAGTAATGTCATTTATCTACCACTTGCTAAATGATGACAAGTTTTCATTTGTGGGTGATGCATCAATTCTTCAGAATTATCAGAATGGTGATTTCATATATACATCGAAGAAAATTGATTTATGAACTTTTTACATTTTCTTTCAAGAAGTATCCTGCAAAATCATTGAAGCCACCTATGAAAGTAATATCTAGCTCAACAATATTCCTTTCTTTGTTGTTAGAGAAGTATTCTGAAAAAATTGGAGGATAAGCTTAGACATACATGTTCGTATAGTTCCACATAAGACGATAGAACATTAGTATGAAAGATCGGACAACCATATTTTTGAGGTGTATTCAATTTGGAATTTATTGGCTCTTTTAGGTCTCTGTCTTTTGTAAAATTTAATGAACTTTTATTTATTCATCTTTTAGATAATCAATTAAGGTATTTCATAGACTTCTACGGCTCTCATTTAGAAATAGAAACTAAATTCACAAAATAATATATCACATTTCGATACCCTTTAGAGGGGAAAAAAAATTGAAATCTATAATATTCAGTACTATCAATATATCTAAATCTGAACGAAGTTATTAAATTAAACAAATAATCAAAATATAAAAATTTAATTATAAATTAATCTATTTTTATAAAAATATATAATTCTAATTAAAATTCCTTTTTTCATAGAAAATTGAACGAAACAATGAAAAGAGAACAGACAGAAAAATCTTATAAGCACTCTTTATTACATATTAATATTTCTTTCGTAGAAAAAAGTAGAAATGATAAAAAGAAAAGAGAGAAAAATGGATGAGAATATTAAAAGAAAATAATATTAACATGTTGAAGAGAGTGAAAAATATCTATATGATGGTTCTAGAGTTCGTAAAATGAAAGAGGAAAGAAAAATATTGAAAAAGGAGAAAAATTATAGACTAAAGCACATTTTTTTGTCTTTTTTTATTTTTTTTTTTATTTTTGGTTGCGGGGAAGGGGGTTGAAGTCATCGTGGATGCGAAAAAATTGAGAACTCTTAGAGAATAAAATACTAAGTACTTCTTATCACTATTTAATTGACATATATATTAAACTAGGAATCATTTTCTAACTGGAGCCTAAACATGAAAAAATGTACAATTTCTTGTATAAATAAGGATGGAGAAAACAAACTTCGAAATTTTGCATAGATATTTTCTTTTTATAGGTTAGTAAGAGAAGAATTTTACAAAAACAAATTATTAAAAGTCAATCACATTTTGAATCTTTGTCTCTATTTATAAAAGCTCCTACAAAATTGGCAACCGACATGCCAAGGGTTCTCCCAATGTTAACCCCCAACTTCAGAAAATCCGAACTTGCAAAATACAATTTACCATAGTTGCTATCTTGAGGTTTCTCCCAATTTTTCCCATTTGTACATTTGCTTCACCTTAACTATTATTTAAACAAGATAAATTTTATGAATCTTGTTTTTACCACTACGAAAAGAAAAAGGAAATTGGCAACCTTGATTACCAATGAAATTATTGCTGAATAATAATTTTCTCAATAAAATAATATTACGCATGAACCCATAATTTTTAGATACTTTTTAAGCACATAATCTCCAAAAATATCACTTTCCACAAAATGTATTATCACATCAAACAGACCCTAAATAAATCTGCACGTGAATATTATTCGAACATGCATCTTAATAGCTGATTAGACGTGTAAACCTCAGCCGTGCCGCAGCCCGATTTACACATCTACGCTGATCCTCTTTACACTCTAGGTTCTTCAGTTCTCGATCCCCAACGATACAGAATTCAAATAAGAAAAAAAACTTATCTTCAACCTGTAATAAGAACTTGCAAGCATTAAAAGGGTGGAGTTCCATGAAGGATCACTTTCTATTCTTAATGAGCTCCAGTTCAAAGAAGAAAACCAAGAGAATGGATGAAGGTTGGAACAAAAAGTATAAACCAAGATTTACAAATTACAAATTATTAAATTAATGATTAGTTGTCTCAAGAAAGCCAGATAGAGAGAAACTACACTAGGCAACATGTTCATCCCAAGATATATGGCACTAGAGCAACCAAGCTTCAAGCCGAAGTATCTACGGTAATAATCTAAATTACCAAGAACTGCATGTATATTCCAAGCTAACTGAAATCTACTGGTAATTTCCAAAATGATCAGTCGGGGATTGTCAGACTGTACCTGTCACATTTACACAAGTATTTGTTAGGCAAGAAATACAAGTTCAAAAGTAAAACCAAAAGATAGACGAAAATTATCAAGAGTACAAGAATGCAAATCCTAGTAAAACATATATGTTTTGAGTTCAATCGGTTCAGAAAATAAGCTAAACCAAAGAACAAAATAAGCATCCCTCATGAAAGATATGAGACTAAACTTATTTGCAGCAAAATGGGATATAGAGTAGTCAGTAGCAAGCAAGTGTACATTGCTCATTGCAAGGGTCTTTCAAAGCCTAAGCCATACAGCTTTTTCAAACAATAACGACAGAAGAGAAAGATTAAGCCTAACGGCCTATTGTTACAATGGAGAGAAGAACTTATGATTAGCTTTTCAGGCTTTTTATTCTTCAAAAATATTTGAACTTCATTATTCATTTTTCATTAAGTTACAATCATAATAGTGATAACAAGAGCAAAATTTAGCATTGCATCATTAACAGACAACCAGAAGAACTCTATGGTCAATGGCATAGGAGCCCCATGGGAGGTTAATTAAAAATCACTAACAGGTAAATAACGATTACAGGTAAGAACATTGAATAAAATTTTAAGATGAATCCTCTGCAATCAAAGCTTGAATTGGTATTTGGAATGTTTACTACTCTTAGTTGAAAGTCCAAGCTGTGCATAAATGAAAATCAGGAGCAGCTGCCAAATAAATTTGAATCCAGAGTCTGAATAAGAAAATGCAGTTCAATTCTCAACTAATAACATGCTTGATAAACATTTAGAAAAAAGACTTCACACATCTCTGACAGCACGAAGTTCATTAGGCATCTTCATATTCCATCATTCCATCAAGTGCTTGTTTGGCAAAGCTTAAATTATAGTTTAAGGTGGCCATTGACATTTCGAAAGAACCACCACCTTTCCCACTTATTATCCACATATTCTGAGTGACCCACATCTTATTAGTACTTAAAAGCACTACCATAGCCAACCTTAGCTGTCTAAGATAAAGTATTCATGGTCATAACTGTGCAATGTGCATTGATGCATTGTTCTACAGCTCCTGCTTCGAAGTAGCATGTAAATAAAGTTTAACTACACATGTAGATCGAATTGGTTGCCTATATTAAAACCAATCTACTAAATACACTTAAAACACTAGAATGCAGCAATAGCATCGAAAATCACAATAACTACTATTACTCCAAAGCCCAAATAAGACTACAAATAGGTTAGCAAAGAATGCTTGAGCCCAATCTACCACCTGTGACAAATATGTGGCGAATCTCATGCTGTAGGGCCGTTGGCATGGTTAATGAAACAAAAAACACATACTCTGGTGTCTACTAACGTGGAAAATCAGAACAAAAAATTGACATTACCCCACTTTCCACGAGAGACTTCATATAATGGAGGTTGCAATCACATTTGAAGCCAAATCCAAGTCCATGCAGTGTTAAAAAGAGATTTTTGTAGGTTTATTTTGGGTGGTTCATGTTGCTAAAATGGTGTGGAGAAGATTACTCAGAAGAGGCTTTGGATGGGAAACTGATAATTAGTGGTTTGGAGCAAAAACCATTAAAAATTATATAGAACAATGACATTCAAAGAGAGAAGTCAATGAGAATACATGCTCAAATATATTTTAAGCATAAGTAAGTTTTATACATAGATATATATATATGGACACACAAACGCACTTATATAAAGCCAATGTTTGGCGTGTCTTCTGTTAATGTGTGTGAATATCTATAGAATGCGTGAAATTGTATTTAATGAACCTTAAAAAAGGCCATTTCGAACAAAATTAATCAGTCAAACTAAACTCACGTGAACCTTAAATTACCCTCGACAAGACAACAAAGCATACAAAGCTAACTTGGCAAGCGGCAGGAGTTAGAAATAGAAAATTAGTAATACGTTTGAGGTTCCTAGTAACTGACAGGACACGAGCCAAATACCAAAATAAAAAATCTCGCAAGTATATTTTCTGCAATTCAGCATGTTTCATCTTTATATAGAAGCAATTTCAGAGAACAATGGCCTGAACGCAGGGTCCCTCACTCCCCATCCCACCCCCTCACCCTAGCCATCCTACTTAGTAGGTAGTTACACAGGGATTCGTAACTCGCAGTTCCATCTATAATTTCCAGAACTCATGTCGTCATCTTATTCAGTCAAAAACCATCAGGTGTTGCAGTTTTGGAATGAAATATATCCAATATATTCACATAATAACTATACAGAAGTGGACATGATAGAAAATAATTGCAGAGATAACTACCACCTTTAAATGCATGAACCTAACAGAGAGGGACATGCTGTGAACCCCAAGTTCATCTCAAAACAACCAAAAATAATATTGAAAGAATTAGCACAAAAAGAGAAACTTAAAAGGAAATTTTTCTAACGAATCACTTTTTGTTGGGATAAAATGAAGTTTGTCTCCCAATTCAAAAATTTGATTAAACACGGACATTCAGTCATGCAAAATGAATGTAGTGCCCTTTTTATTAAATGTCATTTAGTCAATCTACGCAATGTTGATAAAGAAGACAACAGTGTCTAAGTGGACTAGAAAAGTCACTTTGCCTAGTTTGACGAGAATACCTAGGTGGTTCAAAATTCAAGCGAAAAGGAAGTGGAAGAATTTGGTAAAATTCATTCAGTAATTAAACTCCTTCATTCTTGGACCTCATTTCTTAATATTGTGACTTTTCCATGCTCTAAGCCAATTTTCTCACTTGTAATATGTGGTTCTAAACAAATTCCTGAATAACAAGCCTAAGTGCCAACAGAGGCACTTGCTCAGATGAGAGTGGAGTTCCTTCATATCAATCTCGGTCGGTGACGCACAACTTTTCCCTCCTATATGTCATCTCTCCTCTCTAGCTTCTGATTGAGCACAATTTGCTTCGAATCTCGATAAAACTACTCAGAATCAATTGGCAAGAAGTCAACAATCACATGAATTGCTTAAACGCTACATTAGGATTTGATAAAGGAAATGGTCGTGATTTTGAACCATGCTCACAAGGAAGGAAAAGCGAGCTGTTTACACTTCATCCTGGATGAGATTGGAGATTTTCTTGAGAATAGTGATGACCTTTCTTATTATTACATACATTTACATCCTTTTCGGAGAGAAAAGATTCGAACGGTTTCTCCCTCATTCTAATATTTGATTCTTGTCCAGAAGAATGTGCCCGTTGGAGTACAAATAACATAAAGAAATATAACCAACTTTTATTGAAACATAAAGAAATATAACCAACTTTTATTGAAAAAGCAACCACAAAGATTCAGGAAAAAAATCAGGGAGCAGATCTGCAAGGTCCCAAATAAATTGGCTTATTCAAAAAAGGTCTTGTTCTTTAGAAGCTTCCTCCGTTGTATTGTCAGCCTACCTATGGGAATGCTCGAATTACACAACAATGCTCAGTTTTAACCAATCATATGAAAAAGAAAATATATGCAAGAGATACTGTTTCATAGAAAGGCCAACAAAGCTTACAGTTAGACCCAGACGGCCGCTGGAAACCTTCATCCAGGCAGTGACCAAAATACAGCACAGACAGGGGGCTACATTAGAGAGAAGGAATGAACACTGTCTGCACTCAACAATGCTAGGTGAGAATCAGGCAGCCAAACACTGCCTGAAGGAAGACATGTCTTAAACGGGTGTTCTATAATCTAGATGGAACATTCTAGACAGGCTGAGCTGAAACTCACGCAATGCATGCAGGGATGGAAGGTGCGAACTGCCTGCACCAGATTTTGTTAGAGAATTCTAGCACCTAGTTGGTTGATTATATTATGTATATAGACGTGGGAATTTTGTATATGTCTACAAAAAAATGCAGACCGTTGTATCAAATGAATCCTAACCGTTCATTCTAGATGGATAATTTGCTATCTGAGTTACAAGTTGTAAGGAGTTACATGTAAACTCAAGCATTTTCTCAAACTCTCATTCTCTCGAAATATTTCTTGCTTTAGTTGATTTTTGGGTTGTAGCAATACTTCACTATTACGCTGGACGCCGGTAACAAAGGCTGCCTTAGCATGTAACTGTGATAGTCAGAAAACTGTAAGATTTCAAGGCCACATGGCGCTTGAAATTCGAAAATGCTGATTTTAATTGGGCTATAACTGGAATTTTTAATCAATTTCTGATTTAGTTAACATCTCAACCTTGCAAAGATATTATGAAAATCATCTCATTCCGGCAACATTCCATGCCAAGGGCATTGTGAAGCAGAAGAAAAGGCAGTGATGCACGTTCAAAGCCACAACCCAGTAAAACTTATTGCACAAGAATGAAAGTCAAGACAAACCCTTAGATCATGAGTTATCAGTTATTAATTGCTGGGCACATAATTTGAGCATCGTAGCGAAACAAAGGGCAATGCATATATCAGAAATATGCGTTCGAACTTCATCAAAAAGTCAAAACATGCTGGGCGTTCCTACTCATAAAGTAATTTGCAATTGGCACCACTAAATCAACATTCACAGAAGGTCGTAAAAGTGTTCATATATTTATATAAGCATCCCTTAATCAGTTGATCACATATAAGCATCAATATAAAAACCGAACATATCATCGCCTTTAAGACTCACTATTTCGTGAATGGTTCTTCATGCGCTTCAGTTTCTCAACCTGAACCTGGGAATCCATGAAAAGTTTCATTCTCTGAATCTCCAAATCCTTGACAAACTGCATTCTTTGCTTCTCCAACTCCACCATCTGCCTCTGCTTGGCCGACTCCACTTTCTCGTATATATCCCCTAGCCTCGATAATGCCTTGGCTAACCTCCTATAACCATCGCCTACCGACCCGTCCCCCTCCTCAACCAACCTCCGCTTTTTCCTCTCCACAACCGGCAGCTGCCTCAGCCATGTTTCATCCTCATCCTCTTCATCTTCCTCTTCCTCCCCTTCTTTGGCCTCAACTGCTGCTGCAGCTGCGGCCATCACAGAGAAATTCCTCTCTGTCAAATTCCCATTCCCGGGCCGCTTTGACCTTGGGCCCACCGGCACCGACCATGGGACCTTGGGTAGATGAGTAATCGACTCCGGCGATCTTTTCCGGTAGTGGGTCATCTTTTTATTCGCCGGCGGCGGCGAGGTAGAAACTTCCGGCGATAGAGAAACTCTTCGACGGAGGTTTTTCTTATGGCCATTGCTAGGGACACTATTAGCCTTCGAGAAGGTATCACCGATGAGGGAGTCGAGGCTGTCGAAGTGAGGCCACGTGGAGGCGTATCGGCCGTTAGATTGAACGACCTTAGTCTTCTCGATCTTGTACTTCTTCTTGACGGTGTCGACGCGATTCTTGCACTGGACGTCGGTGCGGTGGAGCTTCTTGGTGTGGGCGTGGAGGGCGTTGACGGCGTCGGCAACCTCCTGCCAGTGCTTCTGCCGGAGATTCCCACGGTTTAGCTCCAGGAAGTGGGACCCCCAGGCCTCAATCAGCGTCCGAGTCGCCTCTTCCGACCAGCAATCCTCCCTGACGGGAAACGTCGGGGTCCGGGTCGAAGTGTAACCCTCCGATTTCGGAGTCTCCGATAAAGACTCTGTTTTTGTAGTGACTGGCAGGGGATGAGATAGAGGCGCTCCGCCGTTCTCGTCGTCAGACATCGAAGCGGTGGGGAGATGGAGAGAAGGGGAATGGTTGGGGGAGGTGGTGGTGGAGAGCGTAGGCGAAGCGGTGGAGGAACGTGACATGTGAGTCAGTCAGTAGGTGTGCCGACGAAGGGTATTTTGGAAAGAAAATTTTGGGCTTCGAAAAATTTAAACGGGTTTTTGAGTCACTGAAGACGGAAATTATAATTTATTTTTAAATTTATTTATAATAATTTTCGTGGGGTCTTCTGTTCCTGTCCGACCCGGGAAAAGTGGAGTTGGGATTTTGGAGGGAAGTATCCAAATCGAATTTCATTCTGTATTTTACACTCATAGTAGAATAGTAGTGATGAAGCAGTAAGGTTTAACACATAAGTTATGCCACTTTGACAGAAACTAGTTGACACATTAATATTTTAGTCATTTTAGTCATTCTGTTTATCAGTTAAAAATATTGACAATAAAAAGAATTTATTTTAATAAAAAATTTGTGATATTGTTGAACAAGTCATTAGTTTAGAATTCAGTATGCATAAAGTGCCAAGTAGGAACCTTTATCATATAATTCGATGTGCTTCTCTAGCTATTTTCTTAAAAAAATAAAAATTGTGGAAATATGGAGAATGTATGAATTATACATGAGACGAGAAATTAGTATGTATTTTATCAATATGGAGTGACAAGTGAACTCAATAAAATGGTGCCATATGTCCCCTTGGATATTCAAACTAGCCAAAACATGCAGCAAAGCCTTTTTAGTAATATAATGACACATATCGTCACGGATCTTTGAATGATATTGACCAAACTTTCAATAAGTCCAAACATACATCAATGTTCGATTTAAACTAAGTACTATTGTCATACCACTATATGGGAGTGATTTGTAATACCAAATCCCGAAGTAGTGTCATCTAATGCCTTGGATCCTCATAAAAGACATAATAGAGCATGCCTCACCATGAATGTAATGAAGTCATTGTTGTTGGGGTACGGCTAATCCCACCTTGGATCCTTGAAATAATCGAAGTGAGATACCATAAGGCGAGCAAATCAACCCACCAAGTGAAACCAATAGATGAGTGCCATGCATAACACTCGTCTCATTATCCGATGAATAGGGGAGCCATATGCACTCAACTTGATTTGATATTCAAAAAATTGGAAGCACGTCATGCAAAGATTTTTTTGGAAGAGGTGCCTGTAGATGTTTCATAGGCTCTTTTTCTTTACAAGCTAACAAACATGTCTTAACTACACACATCGCCCATATATTTCAAGCGCAAGTTTGTACCTAATCATTCATAAGGCAAAATTTCGGCAACTTCTAAAGTGGTTTTAAGTTCCAAGTATGCAATAATTTTTTACTTAGCAAAAACTATGTTCAATTTATCTTTCCACCCCTTGTTTGATCAATCAAGCATCCTAACTTGTGTTCTTCGTATGTGGATATGCATAGGTGGACAACAATTTGACGCTAATCCAATTGTTTTCTATGCAAAAAATAAAGAAATTTCATGACCTATTATTTGATAAAAATCCTTTTAAGCATTTTTTTCAAATTGCATGTAAACAAACTTCGTTAGATTTTACTTGAATTATTTCTTCATGTAAGGGTTCTTTTCACACAAGCTCAAAGAAACAAGAAATAAACCACAACCACGGTGTGAGAAAAGTAAAAGGAACACCATAAATTGTTTACTCGGAACACCATAAATTGTTTACCCAGTTTGACAATCGCCTAATCTGGGAGGCTCAGAGATTAACCCGATTATTAAGCACACAAAAACCTTCCAAAAGAGAGTATAGATGTCATCGATCTACTCACAAATCTCTTAAATCACAAGACCTAATCAAAACACAAGCAAGAATTTCTTGCAACTTCTACAGATTCAAAATTAACCACTATTTCGAGCCTGATTACTATAGCAACACAAATCACATAGATTGACCCACTATTTTTGGCTAGAAACTCATAAGAAATCAAAGATCGAAGAAACCAAAAGAAGACTAGATGTCCAGAGAAGAGAGACTCAAAAAGCCTAGAGTCAAAGAGAAAATGAAAAGTGACCTCAACCATTCCAGCCCCCAAAAGTCTCATAGGGGAGAGGTTTAATCTCAGCCGTCGGTGGAATCCAACGGTCCAGCATTGACTTAAAGAAGCACAATCCAAGTGAAAATATTAGAGCCAATCAGGGTTGCTATGTGGACGTCCATCCGGATTAGCATCCATAAAAGAGTTGCATTTTTTAGAAACACGACTTATACTTTACATTCTTCACCTTAGTTCTCACAAAATCTAACTCTCTTTGGTTGCTTAAGTGTGCTTAATTGACTAATCTTACATCATTGTCCATGTACCTGTAAAAGAATTAACTTGCATCAATATTCTGTAAGGATAAACATGTCTTAAACTTACTTACAGATACTATTTTAGTCCCCATGCTGGATGAATTTTTATTTGGGTAAATTTTAATCAGATATACTTCACCTGTAGACAGTTTTTCTCTAATGAAGTGATACTTCACCTTAATATTTTTGGACCATTCATGATACACGGGATTTTTACTAAGTAATAAAGCACTTTGATTGTCAATAAAAATTGTAAGAGTGTCATACAGGAAGTTCAATTATTTTAACTAGATGCATTCTTTTACAGCTTCAGTTATAGTAATATACTCAGCCTCTATACTAGATAAGGTTACTATAGACTGTAACTGAGATTTTCATGTTATGCAATTGTCGTGAAGTGTAAAAAAAATAAGATGTAGAGGATTTTCTTTGATCTTTATCACCAGCAAAGTCAGCATCTGCGTATCCTTTTAAAGTCAAATTATTTGATCTTTTTTATATTCTAAGCTTAGATTTAATATCCCATTAATGTATCTTAACAACCACTTTAATGCTGCCTAATGTGCTTTCCTTGGGTTGGACAAAAATCTACTTAAAAAACCTATTGCATAAGAAAGGTCAGGTCTGGTGGTTATTATAGAAAACATAACAGATCCTATGGCATTGGCATATAGGATGTTTTCCATCATTTTCATTTCCTCTTGTGTTTTTGAGGAATGTTTAGTTGAAAGATTCATATGAGCAGCCAAGGGAACATTTACAGATTTAGATTTTTTCATGCCATATTTAGTTACTACTTTGTTCAGATATGATTGCTAAGTGAGTGTTAATCTATTCTCAGATCTATCCCTCTTAATAACCATTCCTAAAATCTTTTTGACATTTCCCAAATCCTTCATATCAAAATCTAATTTTAAAAAATCTTTTAGTCTTAAAATTTCAGTCTTGCTTGAGCTAGTTATAAGCGTATCATCAACGTATAACAATAAGTAAACTTCACGTTCACTCTTAGCATTGTTATAGTACAAGCAAGCAACATACTTACTTCTTTTAAAACCAATTTTGATAACATATGAATTAAACCTTTCGCACCACTGTCTGGGACTTGTTTAAGTCGATACAATGATTTTTGCAACTTATACACATAATCAGTTTTATCCTTCACCTCAAGATCTTGAGGCTAAACCATGTAAATATCTTCATCCAGTTCACCATGTAAGAAGGCTGTTCTTACATCCAACTATTCAAGCTCCCAATTGAAATGAGCCACTAATGCTAGGATCAGCCTAATGGTCTTGTATTTTATTATAGGTGAAAAAATTTCATTGTATTCTATTCCTTTTCGGTTAAACCCCTTGGCTACAAGTCTAGTCTTATACCTTAAAGGATCTGTAGGATTGTTCCCCTCTTTTAATTTGTAAATCTATTTACATTGGACAATCATATGATTCTTAGGTTTTACGACTAGTTTCCAAGTTTATTTTCATTTAGAGATTGCATTTCTTCTTCCATAACCCTTTTCCAATTCCCAGATTTTAGTCCTCTGACTATTTCTTCATAAGAAGTAGGTTCAACTTGTTCTATACTTTCACCGGACATTAAGTCAAAATCTATACAACTCCATGATTCATATCTAGGGTTGGGTTTCACCTGCCTTTCCCTCTTCCTTACTAATTGATAGTCCTGAAGAGAAGTATCCTCTATAAAATCAACTTAATTTTCATATTCAGTTTGAGTCTAAGGTTGGAATTCTCCAACTTCACCTTCTTTAGGTTCTCCTTCATCTTTTTGAGGTGTGAGAATATTAGTTTCAATACTATCAAGTTGAGTATTACTTAATCTAGTCAGCTTCACCTCATTTTTAGCTATATTGTTATTAGGTTCTGCTGAAGTATTAGTTTTGCGTTTTAAACATGGCATCTCAAATTCATTAAACTTCACGTTTCTACTGTTAATGATCTTTATGCCCTATACCCATAATACCCATAGTCTATAGCCTTTTACACCTTCAGGATAACCCAACATGATACATTTTGTTACCCTAGATCTAACTTTTCTTCAATTTGTGCATAAGCAGCACATCCAAATATCTTGATATTGGAGAGGTCTAGTTGTTTGCTTGTCCATAATTCCTGAGGTGTTGTAAATCAATGAAACTGGAAAGGAGATATGTTAATCGAATATAATTGTACACACTGCTTCAGCCCAAAACCCTTTTGCAACTCTTGAACTGATCAGCATGCATCTGATCTTATTCATTAAGGCCTTGCTCATTTTTTTGCCACTACATTTTGTTGGAGAGTATTTTTAACAATCCTATGCCTCATAATTCCTTTCTGTTTGTGGAAATTTTCAAATTCAGAATTACAGAATTCAACACCATTGTCAGTCCTTAGAGTTTTTAATTTTTTATCCAGTTGGTTTTCAACCATTTTAAACCATATTCTGAATTTTTGAAAATTTTCTAACTTAGCATTTAAAGAAAAGACCCATACCTTTCTATAATAGTCATCAACAATAGATAAGAAATATCTATTGTCTCCGAAAGTGGGGTGACTTTCAGGCCTCCATACGTTAGCAATGACATAGTCTAAGGGTTTCTTGTTAACATGTGGACCTGTTTCAAAGCTCACTCTGTGAGAGTTCCCAAAAACACAGTTTTTACATAACTCCAGTATTTCAACTAAATCTTTTCCAAGTAACTTTTGATTACTTAAAGATTTTAACCCTTTATTCCCAATATGTCCCATTGTCTTATACCACAATTCAGTTTTATTTTCAGTAATAGTGGGGACAATGGAATCAAGGATACTAATAGTTTTACCTTCAAGGTAGTAAAACCCATTTCTTTTTTATCCTTTCATTATTTTTCGTACCTTGTTGTCAAACATGAAGATATGTCCCTCATCTTCAAGAATCCTTAAGGATATCAAGTTTCTTTTCAGATTAGGAATATATCTTACATTCAAGATTGGCATGGCAGTGCCATCATGCATTTTTATGGCAATGTCTTCAATTCCAACAACAGTGTATGAGTTATTATCCCACATATACACTTTCCTAGGTTCTATTTCTTTATAGTTATAGAACCAGGATTTTATAAGGTAAGTGTGAAAAGTACATCCAGAATATATTATCCAATCTTTATTGACTTCTTCACTTGAGACAATCATAACAGAGACTATCAGCACCAAATTCCATAGTGTTATTTTTTAATTCCCCATTATTCAGCTCTCTTTGTTTCCTTTTTGGTTTAAAGCAATCTCTTTTGAAGTGTCCCAATTTTTTGCAATTGTAGCACTTCTTATTGCTCTTGTCTCTAGACTCTAATCTACTTTTGGATTTCCATTTTACCTTCTTTGTGGGAAAATTGTTCTCTCTTTTCAGTTCTTCCTCTTACAAACATGCTCTCATCTCTAGGATTAGATTTAGATTCATTTTTAACTTCTAACTCCCTAGATCTCAGAGCATCAATGACTATAGTTTGTGTTAGTTTATCCCTTGAGTATTTTATTGCATTTCTGACGTCTTTATTTAAGTCAGGTAATGAATTTAGTAGGATTAAAGCAAGGTCTTCGTCATCAAATTTTTTCTCATTATGTACAAAGCTTTTCACTATGATAATAAATTCACTTAAATTTAACTCCAGTTCTTTCCCAGAGTCCATCCTCAAGCTAAACAGCTTTTCCAAGAGAAAAATTTTGTTTAGTAGTGTTTTAGTTAAGAGCATAGTATCAAAGACAATCCATAGGGCTCTAGCAATTTTGACTTCATCAACTTGTCTCACAATATTAACAGACAAATGTAGAATTATGGAATTATAAGAAATTTCATTCATGTCTTCAATTAAATTTAGTTTTGCCTTAAGTTCACTAGAAAAATTTCAGGATCGTCAAGGGCCTTAGTGACCCTCTATTGAACCAGAATGACTCTCATTTTCTACTTCCATGTTAAGTAATTCCCCTTTCCATCGAAATTTGATAATTCGACATTCAAACCGGTTTTGTAAAATGGTGGCCAATACTCATGGACATAGTGTAATTTTGAATTAAAGATCAATTAATGAGCTGAAACGGTTTTGAAAAAATTTCAGAGATTCAAAGCAAATATAAATGAACCAAATTGAAATAAGAGCAATAATATTTGATACAGAGTGAGTTATCCTTGTAATCAAGTAATTGCACCAAGTTATAGTCAAGAACTTAACTAACACCGTATACTCACAATGACAGAGATATGTAATTCAAGTCACAATATCCATATAAATATGTATTGCATGTATATGTCTTGTCTCAAATATCAAGAACAGAAATTACTATACGGAATCCCAAATATTAAAACGTCTCACCATATACAGTCTTTACCGTAAAAAAGAACACTAAGCTAGTCTCACTCTGAGGTCAAGAAACTCCTCTTATTATCAGGAGATCATAGTTATTGGCTTACCACATTTGACCAAGTTTTCCCTTCCAAACAACAAAACAAAAGAGAAAAAAAAATTAGATCATTCAATTTATTAAAAACGAGAACCTGATCAAACAAAAACGACCCAAAGTATTTTGTTCAGAAACTTGCACCCCTAGAAAAAAATCGGACCAAGAAAGTTTGACCACAAAGAATTTTTTTCGAAAAACTTGCACTCCCAGTGAGCTTGAAGGCTTCGATACCAGTTGTAAAGGATCTTTTCACACAAGCTTAAAGAAAACAAGAAATAAACCACAACCACAATGCGAGAAAAGTAAAAAGAACAGCATAAATTATTCACCCAGTTCGACAATTGCCTAATATGGGGGCTTAGAGATTGGCTCGATTACTAAATACATGAAACCTTCCAAAAGAGAGTACAGATCTAGAAAATACAATCAGAACCAGACTAAATCATCGATCTACTCATAGATCTCTTAAATCACAAGACCTAACTAAAAACCCAACCAAGAACTTCTTGCAACTTCTACAGATTCAAAATCAGCCACTATTTTAAGCTTGATTACTGTAACAACACGAATCACACAAATTCACCCACTATTTTTGGCTAGAAACTCATAAGAAATCAAAGATCGAAGAAACCAAAAAACTGGAAATCCAGAGAAGAGAAACTCGAAAAGCCTAGAGTCAAAGAGAAAGTAAAAAGTCACCTCAACCGTTCCAGCCCCAAGAGTCTCATAGTGGGGATGTTTAATATCAGTCGTAGGTGGAATCCAACAGTCTAGCATCTATTTAAAGAAGCATAATCCAAGTGAAAATATTAGAGCCAATCAAGGGTCGTCACATGGCCGTCCATCCAAATTAGCATCCATAAAAGAGTTGTATTTTTTAGAAACACGAGTCATACTTTACACTTCATGTTTGTTAGGAAAGGAAAAATGGTTCAATACAGATTTATGACTAAGAAAACTAAAAGAAGGAAAAGTTTTCGATTTACATGTAATATTATTTTATGGAAGATTGTGTGATTGAAAATAGGAGAGAGAAAAATATAATGTAATGTAATTGAATTTAATGGAAGCCAAACGGAGGCTTAGTCTTATACAATATCACTTGTCAAAACACTAGACGTAGGACATAATTGGGCCAACGAAAAATTGAACATCAAGCCCATCTGTTTTGAATCCAACGTTATATAGGCTAAGCCAAGTTTATCCAAAAGGGAAAATTTTATATCTAAGATATTAAATATGATTCATATAAAAGTTAAGAAACATGGTTTAAAATTTCAAAAATCAAATAATAATTAAATTTTATTTATTCTATAAATAATTAAAAATATATTTTATTAAATAAATATATTAATGTCATATTTTTATATTATTTAGTCACAAATTATCGTATTAATTAATCACAAATTATTTCTCAATCACGAATAAAAAATTTTATAGGTCACACATTATTTCACGGTACAAATCAAAAAATTTATAGGTTTACAAATTATTTTCATAGTCACAAATCAAAAAAAATTATAAGTCACAAATTACAAATTTTATAAGTCATAATTCAAATTTTTGGGTCACATATTATTTATCGACCACAAGTTATTGATCATATATTATTTATTGATCACAAAGTATCAAATTTATTGATCACAATCTCAAATAATTGGTCACTTAACACTTTTAATTCCACCAGGTACACCCACCTAATCGAATCCACTATGGCACCAACGGAATGCAGCACCACCTTACCACCGTCGCCACCAAAACAATCCACCACGATTTGTGATCGCCTGCAGCACCATACCATCGTTATATCACCAGCATTACCTACACCTTGACCACCTCAACAACTATCATCACTGTTGCTGCCACCACCACCACCTTCAAACACATCTAAAAAATTCACCACCACACCTCTAAAGTCAAACAGGAGAGAAGATTTAAATCGTTGCCACTACCCCTCCTCACTACCATCACCACCTTCTCCTCCATAGTCAAACCACCACCATCTTCACCCAAAATCTGGTCGTCAAATTGGGATAAACACAACCAGAAAAATAAGTGATGTGGTGCAAAAGGAATTGGACTTCATGGTAAAGTGGGACCGACACAAGAAGAAATAATTTGGAGTTGTCCGTTTTTGACGAATTTGTAGTCTAATTTGGTTGGAAACAGGCTGAAAAGTTAAACTCAAAGGCTTTGCTTTGATGTAGGACCAATTCCGGGCAAATTCCTTCGTTTAGGCCTTTTTCCTTTTTTTGGTAATTCTTATTTTAAGTATATATCAATCAAATAAATTCGGATTTACATTCCGTTTGTTGGAAAAGTAATCCTGAAGATTAGGACTATCAATTTCCGTCATTATCTTGATTTTTCCATTTTTGGAAAAAAAATCTTTTTTTATTATTATTTAATTTCCGAATTTTATAGGGTTTTGCTATAAATACGTTGTAAGCCTCTTGAGGCCGCAGATTGATTTGAATAAAATAAAACTTTTCGTGAGTTTTCTTCTTTGTGAGATTTGTTCATCTCCCCTATAACTTTCGCTACGTCAATTGGTATCAGAGCGAGGTTCGTTCCTTCACCATGCCGTCAGAGAGACATCCAGCAGCCCGTGAAGCCCCAGTAGAGGAGGTGAATAGACATGATGAAATCACACAGTTACGTCAACAAGTGGAGTTGTTGAACCAGCAAATCGCTATACTCGCACCACAGCAACATGTGCCTGTAGCCCAACCACTTGAGGATTTCGAGGATGAAAATCCGTTTGCGCCTCTTGATCAACCAATAGATTTGCTAGTTCGACGGAGAGGAGGTGGCCTGGAGGAGAACAGGCGCTGGGAATCAGGATTCAAGGTTGATATTCCTGAGTTCCATGGTGGATTAAGTCCAGAAGAATTCCTGGATTGGGTGACTGCAGTAGAGGAGGTTCTTACTGGAAAACGTGTGCCTCTCGTTGCGACGAGATTTTGTGGATGAGCAGCGGCGTGGTGGCAGCAGACAGTAGTGACAAGATCCCGATTAGGGAAGGTTAAGATTACATCTTGGGATAAACTAAAGAAGCACATGAAGAGGCAATTTCTACCCTACAACTATGTTCGGACCATGTATGAGAGATTCCAGAATTTGCGTCAAGGCATGAAGGCGGTTGATGACTATACGATGGAATTTTACATGTTGATTACTAGGAATGAAGTGATGGAAACAGAGGAATGATTGGTGTCGCGATATGTAGGTGGTCTTCATCCCCAAATACAGGACACACTGAACATGTTTGATCCCGTGACAATTTCTGAGGCACATCAAAGTGCGATACAGATAGAGAAACAGCAGTCCAGATAGAATACAGGGACTTTCACCATAGGGGGTTCTTTCAGTAACCAATAGGAACAGGCAACACGTCCTGGTAATCCTAGCCAGGCTGGTTCTTCTAAGGCAGATCCTGTACAGCCGTCAGCGCGTCCTGGGGGAGGTATCCGTTGCTTCGCTTGCGGAGGTGTAGGTCATAGGCAATCTGAGTGTCCGAAAAATTTACGTAGAGTGCTCTTTGTTGATGGTGGGTATGGAGATTATAAGGTGGTGCCCGTATTTGATAATGGAGATGATGAGGAAGCAGCAGAAGAGGAGAAGTTAGTTGTTGGTGACATGGGGCAAGTATTGGTGGTGAGGCGGAGTTTTTTAACTCCTCTGGACAGCAAGAGTGACTAGTTGCGTAATAATATCTTCCAGTCCACGTGTACTATTGGGAGACGAATCTGCAAGTTTGTTATTGACTCTAGGAGTTGCGAGAATGTGGTTGCTGAGGAGATCGTTAAGAAGCTAGGTCTGTAGAGTGAAAAATCCTAAACCGTATAAATTGGCTTGGTTGAAGAGTAATAGTGATGTTGAGGTATCCCAGCATGCTCTAGTCAGCTTTTCCATTGGGCCTACCTACAAAGATCAAGTTTTGTGTGATGTGGTGGAGATGGATTCATGCCATTTGTTATTAGGGAGGCCTTGGCAGTTTGATCGACACTCGCTGCATGACGGATACACCAACACGTACACTTTTCTATCTAAGTGAAAGAAAATTGTGTTACTACCCGACAAGAGCCCAGTAAAAGTAGTTAGGGACAGTACCAACTTGTTAACCAAAACAAAATTTGAGATGGAGATGGCAAAATCTGGTGTAGTGTATGTGTTAGTAGGCAGGTCAGTCGATACTGAATAGGAGATTCCCCACAGAATTCGTCCATTGTTAGAAGAGTTTCAAGCTTCTAGAGGGACTGCCACCACTGCGGGATATTCAGCATCAGATTGATTTAGGACTGATGCTACTCTACCTAACCGGACGCATTACAAAATGAGTCCTACTGAACATAAAGAGTTGCACAGACAATTGGAAGAGCTTTTTGGCGAAGGAGCACAT